CTCCAGAGTAGCCGGGACTACAGGCATACATCACTTTGCCTGGCTAATTTTTTCTGTATATGTTTCATTGTCCAACTAATTTCTTTCTATTTTCAGTAGAGACGGGTCTTGCTCTTGCTCAGGCTGGTCTTGAACTCCTCAGCTCAAAGGATCCAACCACCTCTGCCGCCCACAGCTTAGCTTTTTATCTCTCTATGCTTTGAAACATAGACTGCTACCCTGTTTTCTCTGTGAGGGCTTTGGCCATATTAAAATAAGTAGACTCTAAATTGTTTTATTGTGAAGGATGTGGTTTAAATCCACCTGTTTTGCCAGTCTTGTGGCTAGAGTTTTAAAATCAAAGCTATGCAATCTTCATTATGTTTGATTGTATCTTCATATGCATGTATGTATTTCTCTATTTTCCATAGTACCAAATTAAGTTATAAGTGAGTATTCATAAAAGGAAAAACCTAGCCCAAATGCTTTTCAAGTTCATGTGACTTTAATAATCTTCAATGAATAAAGATAATTTTAACATCACTGGCAAAACAAAATTAAAATATCTTCAAAATTTAATGTAGGCATTTTCACCTGAACCTGTTGGTCAGGCAGGCCAAATAAGTCTACATGTTTAAAGATCAAATTATTTACTTTCTGGGTTTTTTACTAAAATTAGGATTACTAAGAGTTAACCTTGTATTTAATATATGTAATTAAAACTACCAGACATAAATGAAATTATTGTATATATAAAGTATATGAAGAAAATAAGATTTGTTTTTGGAAAAAATGGGTATAAAAACATAAAAATTTGATCTTTGTGGAAAAATAATTTTGCTTAATTTAAAGGTTTTAAAAATAGGTTTAAATTAAATGAATAAAAATGATAGATAAAACTAAATTGATAAAAATTTAGGAAAAAATTGGTAAAAATTATAAAACCTTATGGAAATCTTACTGTATGGTCAAATTAAGATTAAATAGATTTGTGTGTACGTTTTTATTAAAATTACTTTTGCTATTTAATACACTAATGCAAAAATAAAAATCCTAGACAATCTTCCTGCCTCACCCCCCCAAGTAGGTGGGACTATACCAATGCGCCACCATGTCCGTCTAATTTTTTCTATATAATTTTAGTTGGTCAAGTAATTTCTTTCTATTTTTAGTAGAGAGGGGGTCTTGCTCTTGCTCAGGCTGGTTTCGAACTCCTGACCTTGAGCAAACCTCCCACCTTGGCCTCCCAGAGTGCTAGGATTACAGGCATGAGCCACCGTGCCCAGCCTGTCCATTTTCTCTTTAACCAGGACAAACCTAAGACTTTTGTCATCCATAGTTATTGTCTTACTTTGATTCTTCTGAAAAAGTGATTTTTAACTGACTACAGTCCAAAATTGGCTTATTCAAGGGAATTTATAGAAAAGATTCTTACACACACCTTTAAATATAGGTGCAGATGATGACTTAGAAGATCAGATCATTTCAACTAAGAAAACTTTAATTAAAAAGATGATGCATTCATGAGGATCACTAATCCAACTTCAAACAGAATAAATATTAATTACATGAAACAAAGCCAATTTTTAAAATCACTTTTGTTTAAACATTACTGATTCTTTTTTTGTTTTGTTTTTCAGAAGTCAAAAGAGCGTTTTTCCTTATTTTGAGCTACTTATAGCTTCCAAAATATTGATAAAATATATTTTTGTAAACAATTTGAAACATGTATTTTTCTCTCTACTTGATTTCTCCAAAATTTGCAAACTATTTCTAAATATCCTTATTTTATGGCAATATAATCATTTGTATAAGTTCAATAAGAATTTGCTTTCTTTTCTAACAGGACAGAATTAGAGATGCTGGTTATTCTAGCAAGGCTTTGACTGGAACAGCATATTTTCAGAAAGGTCCAGCCTGCTTTGAAGAATTAGGTTGACTTTATAAGGCCCATAAAAGCTCTATAACATCTGAAACATTTTCTGATGTGTGGTAAGCAAGGACGGTCACTCTCTGACAGGCCCAGGAACCTCAAGTTACTTTGGACCTTGAGAAAAGAGGAATTTACCTACTTCATACAGGTCTCTACAGGCAGTTAAATCTTTGGCTTAGCTCCAGAGGCTTTAAGTCTGACCTACAATTTCTTATGGAAAAAAACAACAAAAAACAAATAAAACCCAACAAAACAAAACAGCAAAGCCCATTTTTTAAGAAAGAGAGCCTGTATGGCCTATGATTAACAATTGTTACTATGTTCTGCAATATTTTAATTATAGATTTCTAGGTAAGAAAAAGACTTCACTGTTCAGATCTTAGATGGGTATTAGTTTCTTTCCCCAGCTCTTTGCTCAGTTTAAAGGTATTTTAGTTATTGAAGTCATCACTTGCTTAGAACAAGGGCCTGAGTAAATTCCAAGGGGGGAAGGTGGTGGTTGTCTGCGTGGACACCAAGGGAGGGGAGGTCCTGCAAAGAGCAATGTCCTTGTAGAAGAATACTTAACTTTTCAAAAACAAATTTCCATAAGTGAAGGTGGACATTTCGGTGGAATTTCAATCTGGTTTCTCTCTGCAGCAAATCCTGGGGAAGGTTTTGTGTGCAGACTATTTGGGATATGTACTGACTAAAGGTAGGAAAAGGAAAGTTAATGTGGGATAGGGAAGGAGGTATGCAATAGAAGTTGTTTTCTTAACTTAGCTACAAGAGGAGGAGATTAGAACTTAACACCATTGAGTGATTCTGGGAAATGGGGCAGAACACAATTTTCAGAATCGCCTCACCTTGTGATCAAAAGTGCTGTACCATACCCATGGTATATCCTGACATTTGTTGTTTGAGGCCCATACTGATCATAATTATGCAGCACTTCTGGACAGCTATATGAGATAGAAGCAAGGCTTTCAGCAGTTATAGGAGAAAAAAAATCTCATAGTGATGCAAGCACTAGTTGGACAGAGTTCACCAAATATCCCAAGGAGCATGGCAATGTTGCCCTTGACTGCAAGTGGAGAGGAGTGGGAGGGATACTGTGTGTGAAACCCATTCGGCTGCCTATGTACAAAACGGAATCAAAAGAGCAACCAGGGTCAGCAGTTCAGAAAGAATAAAGGGAGAGTTTATACACAAACACACACACACAACCCTACACACACACACATATAAATTTGTGTATGTGTGTGTTCAGTTTTTATTTTGGGGGGCTTTTTTGAGACAGAGGTTCTCTCTGTCACCCCTGCTAGGGTGCCATGGCATCCTAGCTCACTGCAGCCTCAAACTCCTGGGCTTAAGTGATCCTCCCGCCTCATCCTCCTGAGGAGGTAGTACTACGGATGAGTGCCACCACACCTGGCTAATTTTTTAAAGAATTTTTTGGTAGAGACAGGGTCTCACTCTTGGCCAGGCTGGTCTTGGACTCCTGACCTCAAGAAATCCTCCCAGCTTGGCCTCTCAGAGCCCTCAGAGTGTTAGGATCACAGGCATGAGCCAACATGCCTGGCCAGTTATTTTATCATTGACTTGAGCGTGGAGTTCTTGGATTAAACATGTGTTTGCTGGATTTTTATTTCAAAGTCAGTGAACTCAGATTTTAAAACAGGACAATGATTGATGTACTCTCACCAAATATGGTTCTGAAAACTGAGAATAATGTCCAAATAAAGGTGGCCTTATTATGTTGGCAGTGTAGTAATAATCCCTATTGTACCTTCTGTCACAAATTCGTATCTCAAACCAGAGTTAACAGCAAAATCCTAAACTCTATTTAGTTGAGGCAATTTTAGATGGGACAAAAAGGAAGCAAAATCAGATAGTTTTCTAGTCGTTCAGCTTTTTCCAACACAAAAACTGAAAAAGGATAGGCTTCAAGTAAGCGTAGGATTGTTTGTAAATCACTTCTCTCAAGTAAGAGTTGCATAAAATCTAGATTAGGTTGTTTTCATGCTTATATTCTCTAGTAAAGATTTATATTTCAACAACTTTGGTGGTTCAATGAGAGCAGCTCTATGCACACAAAGCAAATTATTATAAAAAGATGGAAAACTTTTGACTTCATGGACTCTGAAAAATCAAAGTCGTCATTGTTCTTTGTTTTTTATTTTCTCTTTTTCTGTTGATGATTAACCCATCTTTCATAACCAGGTTTATCTATAGAAATAGCATAATACTTAAAAATAAACACTATAAAATTTAAAAAACTAATGCCGGAGCCAGCTTTTATATAGGGATGAATGGTAGATTGCATTTCCAAATATAAATTGCAGATCAAGGTCTCTCCTCTCAAGACTCTTATAATGTCAATCTGTTCCTGAAATTCCCCTAGAAGGTTACTTTTCTGAGAACCTTAGGAAAAAACTAGTGTATATTAAAATATCACTATATTATCTGAATGAGATAACACACTAAACAATTATAATAGTTAACATATCAGTAAAAATAAGGAGTCTAGATTAGCTGAAGTCATGATCAAAGGACTTCAATGGAATGGCAGTCATTTTTTAGAGGAATCTTCTAAGGTTAACGTGACCAAGTCACTGAAGTGTTGCCCTAAAGCCAGGGCAGTTTTATAGCATAAGTGTGTGTGTGTGTGTGTGTGTGTGTGTGTGTGTGTGTGTGTGTGTGTGTGTACATAGAACAGTAGTGGGAGGCCTCTCCATTCTGCCTTTTTAAACTTTGTCCTCATGGCTGGGTTTGTGCAGCAGGGATGACAGGCACAGAGTGAGGTATGGGGATCCCAACTTAGTGACCTGGGGCAAGTTACTTAGTTCTATGTGCCTCAGTTTTTTCATTGGGAAAATCAAGACATTTATATATCTTCATTTTGAACCCATTTTTAATTCATAAATGAGCTAACATATGCCAAATGCTTTGAACTGTATTGAACACAACTTAGATAATAAATGGTTGTTACTATTTAAAGAGGGAAATTTTGCATAGAATTTTATCATACTAAGTAAATTTACCTCTGGTTTGCCCATTTCCTCCCCATTTTCCAACTAACATTTTAAGATGACTTTGATGTTCAAACATAAAAAACAACAACAAAAACTCCTCCTCACCTTTCTTAGTGCTGGTCAAAGTGTTAGCAGCACAAAAGTACAGTGACAATTTCCTGTGTCGTCATTCCTGGAACACTTCAGAAGCTTGTGATTTTATTGCTTTACTGCTTCATGCAATCCAAACACGTCTCAACAATAGATGACTCAAGAGCGTCTTTTAAACACACAATTTTTCTTTCTCTTTTTATGTTAAATTTCTTCATAGCCAACATTAGGGTTCCTTCACATGAGCTCCAATGACCCAGTGCCGTTCTTCCTGAACAAGCACCGTGTCTTCTCTGCGTTGGCCTTGGAACATCAGTTCTCATGGCAGGTATGTGTGACCCCAGTGACAAAGTTAAAAAATAAAAAGTAACCAGAGAAGATATTTTGTGGATTGGCTAGTTTTGGGGCAGTGCTGTAAGAGAAAAGCACATGGTTAACAGTGATATTTTGGGGCCTTTCATGTATCAGCACTTTCATTTTATTTTCCTGATTCTTGAATCCATAACTTAGATATGATTTTGTGAAATTTTTACAACAGTTTTAAAAAGTGGCTTTTGATGGAGATACCTCTAAATTAGGAATGAAATAAAACTTATCTGGTTAACTTTTGAGCATGATAATTTCTTCATTGAAATAAAGAATGCCAAATATTAATAACAGAATGCTTAAAAGTTTTTAAAAATTTATACTTCATGTTATGACATGCAAAAATTATACAAATTAACAGTTTGGCACATGGCACTATTGTTAACAGCAACACTTCTTGAGAGTGTGCTGATGTTAATGTAGAGTCTTCTAATGTTAAAACGTTTTAGAGGAAAAGGCTTTAAGCAAGTAATTTTGAGTATGAGTAAATTTAATGTTCTTGGAAAAAAAGATTGGTTATGTATTATAATTCAGTGTACTGTGATATAAATCCAGGTCCCCAGAATAATACCTATATTTTGGTTGTAGAAGCAGTTATCACATCAAATCCAGAAAGTTCCTATGACTTCTCTTCCCTATAACACCTCAGCAAGCCTATGAGAGCTAGACATTTATCAGAGCAGAGCCTGTGTGAGACGAGAAGAGGGCACACTCCCAAGTAATATTCTTGTGACAGGGATAGAATATGTGAAATGAAAGAGTCTGAGCCTAGGCCAACTGTCATTTGATTTCTGGTTTGGGTACTTACTAGCTTTGATACCTGGAGAAAATAACATTATTATTAGACTGTATGTTTTCTCATGTATCTAATGGGAATCATACTGTCTATCTTATGATTTTGTAGAGAGAATGCAAGTAAATATGTGTTATATAAGCCCATGGAAAACAAATTGGTGCCTCTTCTTACTCCTGATCTTTACACTTCTCAGACAATTTAAAAAATAGGTTGCAAATCTACTGCATTGAAACAGAGATGGCAGAGAAGAAAATGTATGGATGATTACACCAAAGAACAATGCACTATGCATAAAAGTATTGATATTGGGTGAACTCTTGAATGTTTTCATTTTCAGTGTTTAATTGACAAGATGACTGTGTTATCAAATGAAAGAACGTTTTGCATCATACATCACTGATTTCTGTTTTTAAGAACTTCACTAGCACTCTGGGAGGCCGAGGCGGGAGGATCGCTCAAGGTCAGGAGTTCGAAACCAGCCTGAGCAAGAGTGAGACCCTGACTCTACTAAAAATAGAAAGAAATTAATTGGCCAACTAAAAATACATAGAAAAAATTAGCTGGGCATGGTGGCGCATGCCTGTAGTCCCAGCTACTCGGGAGGCTGAGGCAGGAGGATTGCTTGAGACCAGGAGCTTGAGGTTGTTGTGAGCTAGGTTGATGCCAGGGCACTCTAATACGGGCAAAGAGGGAGACTCTGTCTCAAAAAAAAAAAAAAAAGAGAAAGAAAAGAAAAGTAAAAAAGAACTTCAGCCACTTTGTTTGTTTAAGTCATTATTCCATTTGTCTTTCTCTGCAGTGTCTCAGACCACTCGGTGGAGGTTGATTTCTGGGACCTTAGGAGTCATATGCCTTTTATTGATGGTTACTTTGGGAATATTGTTGAAATCTTGTAAGTTTTTCTTGACAAGTCTGCACAAAAGTCAAAAGTTTAAGGAAATACTTTAAGGATAACTTTTCATTTTATTAATGTGTTATTTTTTTTATTTCATGATTTCATAAACCTATACTTGGTCAAGCAAATTTGTAATCATTTCTTATAGTAATTCTTCAAACAAGTACTGAGGCCACACACTCTCCAAGACTCAACCTCCAGGAAGGTATGTTAGACAGTTTTTTGTTTTTTACACATAGGAGCAAAATTAAATAATTATTATACTTGGTCATAAAATTTACCTATTAATTGTAGGATAGTTACATTTTATTGCTCTCTAATGTAAGAATGATTAAATAGCATTGAATGTGCATGACATATATATTAACTAAAAAGGAAAATAGTAGCCTGAGATGACAGATGTTTCCTAATAAGTGTTCATGATTAAGTAACACATTAAAAATAATCTACAGTAAATATTACAGCCAATCCTAATCACCTGCCTGTGTTTGGGTATAACCTGTATTTTCCTATCTCTTTACCTTTTTTTCCGCCTCTTCTATGACTCAGAATATATTGCATAGATTTCTGCAATTCTAAACCTTTCTTCTCTAGCAAATGTAGCTCAAAGTCAAATTTTCTAACTGTGTTTTTTTCCCAAATGCTCCCCATGTTTTCTCATCATCTTCTGTGCCCACACAGTAGTACTTCATTTATAATTTTATTTTATCTCAACACCTCCACCACCATTATACAGCAAAGATTTGAGTATCTACCATGTGTTATGACTATAATTACTGTGTGTAAATGTTGCAGATATTAACAGATACACTGTATAATCAGACCTCAAGCTAATTAATTGGTTTATCTTCCTTTTAGAAAAATAAAATACCCAAACCTATATCAGAATTCTCTCAATGTACCATATTCTTCACTCACTCAGGAAATATGTTAAATATTTTCCTCTTTTAACTCTCTCATCTGGTTAACTCCTATTTGCACCACAGGGCTCAGCTTCGGGTCACATCTTCAAAAAAATGTTCTTCTAACTGCCCCCACCCCGTATACTACTATGTACTGTATTAACGTACTGAATTTCTTTTGTAAACTCACCTAAGTTGTCATTACCTATAGTTAATAAATGATTGGAAATTATATAATTTTGGATCTATCCCTGGAATATATTCTCCATGAGGAAAAAAAAACATAATATAATTTGTTCATGTTAATAGTCCCTGAACTGTGGTATATATAGACTTTCAAAGAATATTTGTAGAAAAAAAATGGATAAATGGTAAATTACTTTTGAATAACTAAATTGCATTAAAAAGAATTTTAAATCCCAATGTCATATGCAATGTTTTATTTTTTCTGTTAGGCTCTGACTGCTGCTCTTGCCCAGAGAAGTGGGTTGGGTACCGATGCAACTGCTACTTCATTTCTGGTGAAGTGAAAACTTGGGAAGAAAGTAGGATTTTCTGTATTTCTCAGAATTCCAGTTTGCTTCAGCTTCAAAACAGAGATGAACTGGCATGTACTTATTTGTGGCTTCCTACAGTTTTTTTTTAATCTAGAAAAATATACTATCTAAGTAAGCCAAACACTTTGATTCAAGTCTTTAATCAGATAGTAAAGGGACAGTTATTTTTGAACTAATGACCGATCAATTCCATGTACCTTGAAACTACCATTGTAAAACATATATCAAGTTCTTCAAAGATTTACATCATAGGGATAAAGATTCAGATAGTTGTCACATAAAGTACAAGAAACTTTTTAGGGAAAATTCAAAGAAGAAATAATAGGTTATTAATTTGAACTTTGTAATTTTTAGTTCTTTTAATGAAATTTATAATTTCTCTTGTAACTATATAGTTTTGTCATCTTTCTGGGATATAATATGAAAGCACTATGGAGAGTAAAATCATAAAAGGTACCCAGTTCTTAAGAAAAAGGGAAAAATTTCCTCAGCTGCATGCAGCATTTGTGCGGGGTCTAGATTGTACCCATGAGATTTATCCTTTAAGATACTGGTAGTTTGGGATCACATTTGATCATTGATCCCCTGCGAAGGAAATGTACTGTGAAAACTATTTCCCTCTATGAGGTTTCTCATTCCTCCAAGAAGGGAAATTTTGTGGTATTTTTATTTCCGTATATGAGTGGGCCTGATCAATGAGAACTTTGAGGATGTGACTATATCTACTAAATTAGCAGTTAAAAATCATGTGTCTGTATGAGGGACAGGTTGAATCTTATTCAAACACTGAAGTATGGTATACGCAGAATAGATTAAACTCAGTTTAATCTGTTTATCTCTGACTCCAAGCAGGCTTTTATGTACTCCAATCAATACTTTTACTGGATTGGACTCTCCTACAATACAGAACGTGGAGACTGGCAGTGGGAGGATGGCTCTAATTTTTCCCGGAATCTGTAAGTTTTTAGGGGCCTTTTTTGATCTTTGTGAATTAATGCTTGGATCTGCCAAGGGAGTTTTAAAATGCTTTTAAAATTGTATTGTTTAATATAAAGGTCACCCCTGAACATCTCACTCCCTGTTCCCATGTGTTAAAATTTTCTTCTGCATTACAGATTTTCATCATTTGAAACTCCAGACCCAAAGAACTGCATAGTGTATGACGCAATGAAAAGTGCTGTGGATGAACCGTGTGAAAGACAGAATCATTTCATCTGTAAAAAAAGCTTATTTAAGTGCTTCTTAGGACAGAGAGGTGGGGACAACCAATCCAGTATTACTACAAATAGTATTTTTACCCCACATTATTGCTATTAATAATTATCTATTTCTTAGTTCTGTAAAATGTGTCAAACTGTCTTATGATACAATTTTCCTATATTTAAAGACATGTGCTTTAAAATTGATGAAATTTGTACACCTACCTACATCTGAAATTATAAAGTGCAAGTTAAATTTATGAATTTTTAAATGCATTTTAATATATATGGTTCATATAAAATTCAATGTAGTTTTAGTGCATATTCGTGTGATTTTCTTTATATCTTTATAAATTCTCTTGGCAGAAATTTAAATAAAATGTAATTCACACTCAATAATATATCTCAAGATCACTTCAGTTCTTTGTATGGCACACTCAATTGGGAAGTTGCCGTCTCTCCTCACTTTTTGTGAAGTAACAATAATGTGAATATCCTTTCTTGATATGTATATATATCAATATATAGATGTCAATATCTATATACATATATATCTGTATGCTTTAATTTAGAGCTGAAAGTGTCATATGAAAATCTTCTCACATTTGTCACCTGCTTCAGAGAAGAACACACTTGTACGCTTGTGCTTCAGTGAAGGAGTCACTTACATGGACGATGACGATCTTATTCCCTTTTCAAAAATTATGTGTCTAATACCGAACAATTCCCTTTTGGAGGGGAGGGGCACTCCATTTTACTGAGGAGTTTCTGAACATGTCAAACAAGAGGTTGGGGACAATAATGAGTCCAATGCTGTGACTTGGATGGGAATTACGTGATGTCCCTGCTATCAAAAACCAACTTCATTTTATAACTGTCACATATATAAAAACTAAGAAATTTATATTGGCATCTCTATTCACTTTATAGTTTTATATTTCAATTAAATGATGATAATTAAGAATAAAGTTGTTTTTCCTAGAAGAGGAAAGGACCTCCTAAATTTTATTTCTCAAAATATAAACAGGACTATGCACTGAACTCTTCATAATGTTGTATGAAGATTGAATTAGGAAAAATGCATTTAAGTTACATAATGAAATATACAGGATAGAATATAACAACTTTCAAATGTTTAACTTGAACTAGAGAGCTTATGCATTACACTTTCTGGAGATTTGAAATGGATTGGTTTCATGATTACAAAGAATACATTTTTAATTAAAATTTAAAACTACTAGGTAAGCTTGTAAGGAAAATTAATAAGTTTTGGTACCAACTGTCTTATATCTATTATCTACCCATAAGGCAATATCTTCTGCTTGGTTTTTGACACTTAGAGCGGTTTTCTCTGTAATGAACAAAAGCTGCTCAATTTTCATCATTTTTCGTCCACAATGAGTCTCAACTGTGTTCATTTAGCTACACCCAAATACAGGTTCTAGTTGTTACTTTTCACAAGATTACTCCATCCAGAGCCCAATCTTCCCTTATTTTCTAGAGAACGCATGAACATTGATTACAGTTTCAAGAGTAGTGAGAAAATAAAGGTGTTAAGTGTGATGAATGCTGTCTAATTTCAGAGAGAAATATTTTCTCCTGGGAGAAGAAAATTCCTGTTGCCTTTGAACTGTAGAGCTCAGATGTTATTTTTCAGTTCATACATAATGTCAGGGCTTTTTGATGGAAAGTATTGGCTTTAATGGAGGATACTGGTCACCCAAGGGGGTGTCTTTCTCACAACATGGTGCTATCACATGAGTCACATTCAGTCCAGGCCCATGTCACCTGTTTCATTTTTACTATCTTCCTCCCATTCTTACCTGCATTCCATTGTTCTTCATCCTAAAAATATCTTTGTAGTCTTCATGATGGGAAAGACTATCATATATAAGAATTTATACAAATCTCTTTTTATCCCCTCTGATATAAGATATCTGAAGTATTTCCTGGGGAGACACAGATTATTCTTCTTTTGCTTTTTTTTTTTTTTTCTTTTTGCTATGAAATGGGCTCATGCACAGGGAAGGATCTAGCTGACTGACACCCTATATGTTCTATACAGAACAGAAAAGGGTAAGTAAATATGGAAAACACACACACAATAGCAAAATAGTATTTCAACAGTCAGCTTACATTTCCTTAATTTCATCTTGATGCCCTGAAGATATTATCCTAATGATATGCAATATGTGCTATGTACTGTTACATAACAGATTACCATAAAATTATAGACTTAAAATAACACGTTTATTATCTCACAGTTTCAGTGGGTCAGGAATCTGTCATAGCTGAGGTTGGTTTCTTTGTTCAGGGTCCCACAAGGCTGGAATCAGGTCTTGGCCAGGCTGCATTCTCACTTGAAATTCAGAGTCCCCTTCCAGGCTCATTCAAGCTGTTGGCAGACGGTAGTTTCTGTGGTTGTAGAACTGAGACCCTCAGCTCCTGGGGGTTGCCCCTGTCCTAAGGCGGTCACACATGGCTGCTTGCTTCTTCAAGGCCACAATAAGAATATCTCTGACTTTCCCCCTCTCTGATCTTTACAACCTCTTTCAAAGTGTTCAGTTGGTTAGGTGAGGCCCACCCTGAGGGACGAATCTCTTTCTTCATTAAGTGAAGGATTTGGAACCTTAATAGCATCTGAAAAATTGCCTCACCTGTGTCCTTTAGTGTAATCTAAACACAGAGTAATATTCTATCTTATTCACAAATTGTATTCAAATTCAAAGGAGGGGATTATAGAGGTGTACATCAGTGCATGGGAATTTTAGAAGCTACTTAGGGTTCTGCCTACCACACCAACACACCCCTACAAATGTGTTACAACTTCTCCTTCATAGTTGCTGTAGTTTAAACATTGTTTTTTGATTCCTGAGTTAACTAAGAACTTAATTCACATATGCCAGGGCAAATAATCATTTTCTGTTTTTCCCCAATATATTAATTCTTAGTCCCTCCATTATTGACATGTATGCCCTAATATAGTATACATAAGAAGGATAATTATGTTGTAACTGTACTGGGACAGCTGTTTGTTCATTTCAGGAGATGCCTAAGAGTCTGTTTTTGGTGCTTGGCCATGATATGAACAGTGGGCTGAGAGACTAGGCAATTAATGAATTATGGTGAGTTGCTTAAAGTTCAAAATACACAAGTATAATCTAGGACCAATTTTTTTATTGATGGTTTACATCTACGATAATGTATTAGACATCTTGTCTCTGCTCTGTGGCCAAATGGGCAGAAAAGATTATAGAAAACTTCAGCCTCAGCTCCCCGGAAAGCAAGTTTTATTACACAAACGTCAGCTGATTTATCCAGGGATACAGCATGTCTTTGTGCAAATAGGAAGAATATTGGGAGCTTGTCCCTGAATGTGTCTTGGTCCCCTGCTGCTTATCTGAATTCTCTTTCTCATGCAGGATCATAGCCTTTGCCCTTATTGGAAGCCTTGCATGCCTGTACTCATGGGAGCCTTAGGATTCCTTTCAGCTGTCTGCACGTGCAAGTCTGGAATATTTAACCTTCTTTTGTATTTCAATAATTTTGTGACTTCTAAAACGTTCGTCCTTATATCCTGGTTCAAGGGTTGAAAAACTTTCTCTGAAGAACTAGATAGTAAATATTTTCAACATTGTGGACCTGTCTGTGTGGAAACTACTCAACTTTGCCATTGTAGTGCTAAAAGACATAGCTAATACCTAAATGACTGGTTTGCCTGTGTTATGAAAGAATTTTATTTATAAAAACATGTGGTGAGGCAGATTTGGTCCACAGGTGATAGTTTGCCAACCCCTGTTTATGTGTAAGATGACACTATAAACTGTCAATCCTACTCTTTACTTTGCTTTATCTTTTCCAGATCACATATTACCAGTTGTAAATATACATGCAAATTTCACTGTATCAGAAGTTATGTCTTATAGTATCCATCTATGTTTATATTAAAAGGTGAAAATCTATAAATTATGTAATAGCCAACTGCAAGATGCCTGCCCATAATTCTCACCTTCTGGAATACATGACTTTGTATAATTTTTTTCCACGTTGTATCCAGGTAGATCTGTGTGACCAATGGAATATAGTGGAAATGTCACTTCTGAGCTATGTCATAAACAATAGCATGGATTCTTCCTCTTTTCTCTTTGCCATATCACTTGATCTGGGGACAACCAGTTACCATATCTTGAGCAGCCCTGTTAAAAGGACTGTGACAAGGAACTGAAGCCTCTTAGGGACAGCCAGCAAGGAACTGAGGTCCAATTCCAACAGCCATGTAATGAGCCTTCTTTGCAAGCCTAGTCAGGTCTTCAGATGACAACAGACCCAGCCAACATCCTGAAAGCAGCCTTATGAGATCTGTGAACCAGGGCCATCCTGCTAAACTGTTGAGGAATTCTAATCCTCAGAAACTGTGTGAGATAGTACCCATTTATTCTTTTAAGCTGCTAAGTATTGGAGTACTGGATTGCACAGCAGTAGGTAACTAACACATATTTTGCTGCTGAGAAATAAGGTATTGTCGTAAAGAAAAAAAATATTGAACTTTTACAGTGTTTTAAAATTGGCAGTGGATGAAATCCACCAGAGTACTGGGAAGACTAAAGCCTTCTAGTGATGGCTGCAGGAAAGTGGAAACATGCTATTGGAAACTGAAGAAGGTAATATTCTTTCTATTCAGTGCCATGGTGTATAGCAACACAATTGTCTATAGTTTTGTGGAAAGTAGAAAATGTACTCAATGAATTGGGAGAAGTATCTAAAGCCATTTCCAGTCAGAGTGTGGAAGATCCTGTCTGGTTTCTCCCTGCTACTTGTCCTACAATGCTACAGAACACACATAAGCTAATGGAAGAACTTTTCAACAAAAAGGAGCCAGGGCTTGTTACTTTTAAACAAAAAGGAGCCAGGGCTTGTTACTTTTAAACAAAAAGGAGCCAGAGGCTTGCTGGTTTTAAGTTTAGTGGATTCTTCAAATGTTAAAAAATGCTACAATTTATAAATAGAGCAAAGATCAAGTCCCTAGTGCTCTTGAAAATAATGGTCTAAAAAGAAGATCTGGGTGTGCCTGTAAAATTTCTTGTTAATATTTCAAAAAGAGCAGAAGTGTTGCCTCAGTTTGGTCAGAGGATGTAGGAAGGGTGTACTGTACAGGTTGTCTTAGTCAAATGACACAGCTTCTAGGAAGCTTTAGGGCTGCGGTCCCCAACCCCCGCCCTGGGCTGGTACCAGTCCGTGGCCTGTTAGGAGCTGGCCTACACTGCAGGAGGCGAGCAGCAGGCCAGCGAGCAAAGTTTCATCTGCATTTACTGCTGCTCCCCATCACTCACATCACCACATCAGCTCCGCGTCCTGTCAGATCAGGGGCAGCGTTAGATTGTCGTAGGAGAGAGAACCCTACTGTAAACCGGGCATGGATAGATCCAGGTTTCGTGCTCCTTTGAGAACCTAATGCCTGATGATCTGAGGCGGAGCTGAGGCGGGGATGCTGGCGCTGGGGAGCGGCTGCAAACACAGATTATCATCAGCAGAGAGGGCTGACTGCACAGTAAATGTAATGCACTTGAGTTGTCTCCCAACCATACGGACTCCCCCTGCCCCATTCTGTGGAAAAATTGTCTTCCCTGAAAGCAGTCCCTGGTGCCAAAAAGTTGGAGACTTCTGCTTTAGGGCATTGTCCCTCAGGGATTTCAGCAGAAGTTCCATGTAGAGAAGCTGAAAAGATTTATGTGTGTGGTTCTTGTGAATGGAATGAACCCCAAAAATACTCATAGGAGATCCCCAAACATTTTTAGGATGATTACAACAGTAGAAACATGGCCAGCTTAGACTGAACAGGACAGATAGAGTAACATACACACACACACATACATACATGCATGTCTTCATGCATGTCTACATATATACATACATACTTTTGGTCCCCTAACCTTTGCAAGTATGAGCACACTAAGAAAACCACAAAATCACAATTAAGTACTACCTTAGCAAGGGTGATTCAGAGGGCAGAACCAAGAACCTACAAGGTGGATCTAAGAATTATAAAGAGTCATTTCATAGCAGAAGTTCTAACCAAGGAAGTCCCATCATTTTCTATGCTGGATTTTAAAATTATTGTGTATCAGTGACTACGTTGTACTTCTCTTCCTTCTCCCCCTTTTTAACAAGAATGCCTATTGAGTTTGTTCTTCTTGATGTTGAGTGCATAGGGAAAGAAAATCCCTGGCATTATTAATTCCACAAATTTTCAGATGAAGAGAAATCTTAACTCAAAAATCTAAACTTAAGGAACTACACTTGATGAGCCTCGCCCAACCTGGCCCTAGCAAACTTCTGTACTTTGAACTGATGGTGTAATGGAATGAGATTTTGGGGGTGGGGCAGGTGTGTATTTTGGATGTGGGAGGGACATAAATTATTTCAGGCTAAAGTCTCTCATAGACACCTTCTTAGATGCTCCCAATGATCCCTGCCTCTAGGAATCCAACCCTTTTGAAATAATCAACTTCATTGTGTAAAGAATGTGACCAATAGAATAAGTCAGAAGTCATATTTGTCTCTCTTGAGGGCAGGTGATAAAAGAGAGTGTGTCTTCTGCCTTACTCTTTCTCAGATCACTTGATTTCAGGGAAGCCAGCTATCCCGTTATGAGCAACTTTTTGGTGTGGTCTATGATGTAAAGTACCGAGGCCTCTTATGAACAGCCGCTGAGGGACTGTAGCCTCTACTCAACAGACGTGCAAGGAGCCTTCTCGGAAGGAGACTGGCCAGTGTTAAGCCTGCAGATAACTGCATTGCAACTTGCATGTGACGGCAGCCTCATGAGGGGTCCTGAGGCAGAGCACCTAGCCCAGCTGCTCCTAATTCCTGACCCTCAGAGATTATGTGATGTGATCAATATTTGTTGTTTTAAGCTAATAAATTTGAGGCTGATTTGTTATGTACAGGAGTTAAGTAGCATGAGATATTTTATCATCATGACCCTATGAATAGAGGACATTTCAAAGCCCAATACTAAGCTACAATTATATCCCCTTCTTTGATGTTCTATTGTTATAACCACTATGAAATAAAAAGCAAATTCTTTTGTCAAATTGATTTTTTTTAAGTCCTCAATTATTGTATAATCCATGAGCCTCACTTTGCTCTCCTTGAAAACATCCTTCCAGGAACCTCTATCCACCTGCTGTTATTGAACTGGCTCTTCACAGACATAATCCACAAACTGTTCTCATTAAATTTTTCATCATTGGTCTCCTTATTTACATTAAGTATTTTCTTGATTGCAGCTCACCTCTCTATATATTCTTAAATGAAAGAAAACACAATAGAGGTACCAATCTTAAATGTACATTTAATTTTGAACCAATGTCTACACTGATGCAATCACCACCAGATTGAAATATAGACTGTCTACCACCACCAAGACTCTCTCATGCTGCTTGCTTATTGATACCATCCCATAAATGCTTCTTGTGGCTTCTATTTTTGTTTCTTGTTTTGTTTTGTTTTGAGACATGAGCTTCTCTATTGCCCTAGTTAGAGTGCAATGATATTGTCACAGCTCACTGCAAACTCAACCTCCTGAGCTTGAGAGATCCTCCTGCTACAGACTCTCAAGTAGCTGGCACTCTCACTACTATGCTGGGTGAATTTTTCTACTTTTTGTAGAGATGGGGTCTCTTGCTCTTGCTTAGGCTGGTTTCAACATCCTGATCTCCATTGTTACTCCCTCTTTGGCCTCCCAAAATGCTAGGATTACAGGCATGAGCCACTGTGCCTGGTCCGTGCCTTCAATATTAAGTGTTATGTCTTTGAGATTTATCCATATTTTTTTGTGTAGCAGTAGCTCATTATTTTTATTGTCATGTAGAATTATTAAGAATACACCACTATTACACCATGGTACAAAACAATTACTTTCGTATTGTTTTTCTATCTTATTGCTCTCTACTCTAATCTTTATTGTTTCCTTCATTCCGCTAAATCTGGGCCTCTTTTTTTCTTTTCTATTTTAATTCTTTAAGATATAAAATTAGATTGTTTTAAATTTTTCTTCTTGTTAAATGTAGGTGTTCATTACTATAAACTCCCCTCTTAGTTCTATCTTTCTTCTATCCCATAAGTTTTGGTATTTGTGTTTTCATTTATGCCAATTCCTTTAAAATTTCTCTTTTGGTTCATTCTTTGACCCACTGGTTGTTCAAAAGTGTGTTGTTTAATTATCACATATTTATTGATTTTCAAGTTTTCTTTCTGTTGATTTCTAGTTTCTTTCTTTTAATATTTTGAAAGATACTTGGTGTGGTTTAAATCTTCTTAATTTTTTAAGACTTCTTTTATGACCTGAGATGTGATCCATCCCAGAGAATGTTCCATATGCACTTGAGAAGAATGTATATTCTGATGCTGCTGGATGGAATGTTCTGTACATATCTGTACTTGATTTGGTTTGCAGGGTTGATTTAGTCACCTGGATCTTTGTTGATTTTATGTCTGGGTGTTCCGTTTATTATTGAAAATGGAGGATTGAAGTCTCCTACTATATTTGTATTTCCATCTATTTCTGCCTTAAGTTATATGAATGTCTGCTTTATACATTTAGGTGCTCTGATGTTGGGTGCATATATATTTATAACTGTTACATACTTCTGGTGAATTGACTCCTTTATCATTATATAATGTCATTGCTGTCTCTTTGTGAGTGTTTTTGAACTAAAGCCTTTGTTATGATTTTAATATAGTCATTTCTTCTCTTTTTCTTACCCGTCTCTCTCCTTCCATCCCTTCACTTTCAGTATATTTGTGTTCTTAAATCTACTGTGGGTTCTTATAGACAGCATATAGTTGGATTTTTTTAAAAAGTCCATTCAGCCTCTCTACATCCTTTGATTGTGGAGTCTAATTCATTCATATTTAGAGCAATTATTTATAGGGAAAAGTTTATTATTACCATTTTGTTAATTATTTTCTGTTTGTCATGCAATTCTTTTTTTTTATCACGTACCTCTTTTTTCTTAATTTGTACCCCCGAGTCAGAGTTACAGCATGCCCAACCTTCAGATAGTGTGCACCACACCCGTTAGATATGATTTTACCCATCTCCTCTTCTCCCCGACCTGCCCGACACCTGATGAATGTTACTTCCATAGATGCACATAAGTGTTGAACAATTATTACTAATTTAATGGTGAGTACATATGGTGGCTGTTTTTCCATTATGTAACAATTCACTTAGTAGAATGAGCTCAAGCTCCATCCAGGATAATGCAAGAGGTATTAGTTCACCACTTTTTTTTTTTTTTTATGGCTGTGTAGCAGCACTTGTGTTGTTTCCACTTCTTTGCAATTGTGAATTGTACTGCAATGAACATTCAAGTGCAAATGTCTTATTTATAGAATGATTTTTTTCCTTTGGGCAAATACTCGGTAATGAGATTGCTGGATCAAATGGTAGTCCTACTTTTAGTTCTTCGAGGTATGTCTGTATTACTTTCCATAGAGGTTGTACTAATTTACAAACCCATCAGCAGTGTATGAGTGTTCCTATCTCTCTTCATCCACACAAATATTTCTTGTTTTCTGACTTCTTGATAAGGCATTCTCACTGGAGATAAATGATATCTCATTGTGGTTTTCATTTGCATTTCCCTGATGGTTAAGATGTTGAGCATTTTTTCATATGTTTGTCAGGCATTACTCTGTCTTGTTTTGAAAAGATTTTGTTCATATTCTTTGTATGCTTTTTAATGGGATTGTTTGATGTTTTCTTGCTGATTTTCCTGAATTTCATATAGATTCTATTTATGGCCTCTTTATCAGATGTGTAGCATACCAATATTTTCTCCCATTCTGTAGGTTGTCTGTTTGCTCTCATAATAGTTTCATTGGCTATGCAGAAACTTTTTAATTAGATCAGTTCCCATTTATTTATTTTTATTGTTGCTGTGATTGCTTTTGGGGTCTTCTACATAAATTCTTTGTCTAGGCCAATGTCTATAAGAGTTTTTCGAATATTTTCTTCTAGAATTTTTATGATTTTATGCCTTAGGTTTAGGTCTGTTGACAATAGTGAGTTGATTTTTGTGAGAGATGACAGGTGTGGATTATGTTTCAGTCTTTTACGTATGGCTATCCAATTTTCCCAGCACTATTTATTGAACAGGGATTCTTTTCCCCAGTGTGTGTTTATGTCTATTGTGTCAAAGATCAAATGGCTATATGAGGATGATTTTATGTCTGGGTTCTCAGTCCTGTTCCATTGGGTAATGTCTCAGTTCTTATTCCTGTACCATGCTGATTTGGTTATTATAGCCTTGTAGTATACCTTGAAGTCTGATATATTGATACTTCCCAATTTGTTCTTTTTGCTTAAAGTTGCTTTAGCTGTACATGGTATTCTCTGGTTTCCTTTAAAGTATGGAATTATTTGTTCTAGATCTGTGAAGAATGATGTTGGTATTTCAATAGGAATTGCATTGAATCTGTAAATCACTTCGGGTAGTATAGCCATTTTAACAATATTGATACTGCCCATCCATGAGCATGGTATGATTTTCCATCTATTTACATCCTCTGCATTACAAATGAGCAGTAGTAAAGTTTCTGATATAAATATTAATTATTATGTTTTTGTTATAATACATATTTAGATATGATACATATTTATTTATATATTTAATAATATCCATAAAAATGATCAGCAGTATTTTAAAATAATTTCTTTTTCCTGAGCACTAGTTTAGGAAACATTGGTCTTCCCTATCTAGTGCCATGCTGTAAAGGGCTCTGACATCATCCAGGCTTTGTTGTTCCATTTATAGAACACAGGTAAAGTATATTTATCATAATACTTAAGGACCCTAGGATTTTCAGAATGAAAAATGGGCATTTGCTTCAACTTAAGTAAGCAGTTACACTGGCCCCTAACATGAGAGTCAATCTGTCCTTTGAAATTTTGAAGCCTGGCATTGATTTTTGCTCTCTAGCTATAAAAGTCTCAGATAGTATCATCACCAATTTTAGGCTGTTTTGTCTCCATTGAAAATTTGTTATTTAGTCTGCAATTTTGCTTAGATCTACTGGATGACTTGCTCCAGCTTCAGCATCAGCACTTGCTGCTTCACCTTGCACCTTTATGTTATGGAGATGGCTTCGTTCTGTAGCCTTATGAACCAGCCTCTACTAGCTTCCAGTCTGTCTTCTGCAGTCTGCTAGCCTCCCTCAGCCTTCATGGAGGTGAAGAGTTGGGGCATTGCTTTGAATTAGGCTTTGGCTTAAGGGTTGTGGTTGGTTTGATTTTCTATCCAGACCACTGAAACTTTCTCTACCTCAGCAATAAGGCTGTTTTCCTTTCTTATCATTTTTGTTTTGCTGCAGTAGAACTTTTAATTTCCTTCAAACTATCCTTTATATTCGCAACTTGGCTAGCTGTTTTGTACAAAAGGCATAGTTTTCAGACTGTCTAGGCTTTCAACATGCCTTCCTAAAGAAGCTTCTAGCTTTTTATAAAAGTTAAAGATATCCAACTCTTCCTTTCATTTGCACACTTAGAGGCTGTTGTAAGGTTATATTAATTGGCCTAATAATCTTGTTGTGTTTCCCAGACACAGTGTTTTCTACACAATAGGCAAGCCTGAGGAAGGGGACAGATATGGGGATGTGTCAGTCAGTGGAGTGGTCAGAACGCACATAACACCATCTTCTATGGGTTTGGTGCCACTTCAAAACTCTTACAATAAGGGACTGATAACTAGAATATACTTAGAACTCACGAAAATTAGGAAGAAAAAAATCAAATAACCCCATTAAAAAGTGGGCAAAGGACTTGAACAGAAATTTTTCTAAAGAAGACAGAAGAATGGCCAACAAACATATGAAGAAATGCTCAACATCTCTAATCATCAGGGAAATGCAAATCAAAACCACAATGAGATATCACTTAACCCCAGTGAGAATGGCCTTTATCAAAAAATCTCCAAACAATAAATGCTGGCGTGGTTGCAGAGAGAGAGGAACACTCCTACACTGCTGGTGGGACTG